AATTGATATACAAGGGACTCTTACGAATACAATGTTGTAAAGAAAAAATCAAAGAAGGCAGTTCGAAACTGATTTAAAAATACCCTTCTGCACGGCACTGGAAACTGGTCAACTGTAAAATCTGACCTCGCACAATGCGGCATGGCGGCAAAGTGTGATAAAAATGGACAAAAACTTTGAAGAATTTCGCAAGGAAAGAAATAAACAGAACCTATTTTATATCAGCAAATTCATCTGCTTTTGTCACTATTGTTATTATTATTTTATAAAATTAATTTGTTGTTTTAAATAATAAAATAATTTGACATACCTGATGTTACAACAACTGTTCAAAATTTTGTCCACCGACGTGTAAACACAGTTTCTACGAATTAACACAAATGTTATCTTGCCTCACCATAATGTTTTACTTCATCCTATTAAATTAAAACGCTATCCATCTACTCCGAGTTGCTATACACGCAAACCATTTTTTAACTAACTACTAAAAAACTATTGTAAACAGTCGGATTTCAGTATTCGGAGGCGCTGAGGCCACGTGGCTCTCCACGCGTATTGCGAATGACGCTAGAGACTACAATTGTCTAGCTATGTAATGGTTGAAAATACTATAATTTTTTTTCTCGGAAACTGTAAGGATTTTACAAAAATTTCTTTTGCTATATTGACTCTATTTCACATGCTGCATCTATTCCCAATTTTTTTGGATAAGTTGTGAATCACCCTGTATAAAAATAAATCGTACGTTATAAGTTTTGAAAGTACAGATCAATCGTTATTTCAGGAATATACCCGGTGTTTATTGACATCTTGTGTTTACGCCGTTGTTCTGTAATACATATCGGCCATTTAAATTTGTTGATATTTGTTCTTGAGAACCATTTTTGTACATCCATTAACAGCTCAAATCTATTAAGCCAGTAAAATGATTGAAATTCAGAAAAAAAGACTTATCAGAGTTAGCTATTTCTACATTGTTTACATATAATATCTAATCTGATGCAATCAAATTAGCGACAGCAATTCCTCTTATTTATGCCCATTAGAGTTTACATTTGTTGTCATATACACAATTGAGATACTTAATTTGTAAGATAACAATATAAAACTGTTGTGTTGTCTTTCTGGGAACCACTTGGAAAAACGGGAAAAGCCGGGAAAAGCTAAAGGTGAAACTCGATTGGAAATTAAAATAGTTATATATAGGGTGTCCCGAAATTCATGCAACAAAATTTGGTCACAGATTCTTAAGACAAATTTAGGGGACCCGTATTTTTTATTTTTTGCCAAGTGGCCTTTTCTTTCGGAGTTACAGCCCCCTGAAGTCCGCCCCTAAGAATAATCTTTTTTTATATCTCAGAACCCTGTTGTACGGAATCACTAAATTTGGTACACAGGGGGTTTATGACATGCGGAATCTGATGGTGCTACGTTTTTTGGCGAAGATACCCCTTAAGACAATTTTTCGTGGGCCCCCTTGTCTTTGGAGCCAAAAAAATTTGGTCGCATATTTAAATTTCTCAAAAATTATCTGTCCTCTAAGAAGCCATTAAATTTAGAAACTTTTTGTCTCCTTATATTTTTTTCGCAATGTTTTCGAGAAAAATTTCAAAATGTGATCGAATGCATATCGTGATTCGCCATTTTCCTAAAAAACATTGCGTTTTACGAAACAAATATCAAGAGACAAAAAAGTTTCTAAATTCAATGGCTTTCTAACTAACTAATAATTAAAAAAAAAAATCAAATTTGCGACCAAATTTTTCTGGTTCCACTGTGAGATTCCACATGTCATAAAACCTCATAATTTTTGTGAAATAGTTTTTTCAAGGATCTCGATGTTTTTAATAAGTGCTTTTAGTATTTATTTCTGGGATACCCTGTATATTTCCTTCACGGTGTAATTGAAATAGGTAGTAATAGATGTCGACATTAGACAACGCTTTTTAACTAAATTTTTAGAGAAAAGAATAGGACAAAAATATCGAATTCCGATTTTTATAGGTCAAAGATTTCGTGGTATTGTGTGAAGATACAATGAAAAAATACTTGTTTACGGATTAAACAAACTTTCCAAAAAAAGTAAGAAAAAAATACGTGAAAATAAAGCAGCTCGAGATGCGGTTGCTTTTTTTCAAAATGTTGAAATTGGGCCACCTCTACATTGCATGGGTAGCATTGAATTTAAATCTAATTTAATATACCAGGTGGGGCATTCATCTTGAGACAAAATAATATCTTGGTTGGACTCGATTATCTCGAAAAAAGTTTCATACGAAAACTGTAGGGTACCGAGGGGGCCATTGAATGGTCCATATTACGACTTCCGGTCTGGACCGGAAGTGGTGTTTTTAGACAGGAAGTTGATGTTTTTAATTGGAAACACCCATTTTTGGAAAGGATTTCGATTGAAATACGAAAAAAAAAACTTTTTGTTCTTATTATTTTTTCGATTTAACACTTTGTGTTATATTTTGTTATAATATGTTTTCATGTAAAATGGATGTCTAGAACATTTCCAAAAAAGTAGTTGGTAGTCATTTCTTTGCCAGAAATATATTTAAGGATTGTCATAAATTCTCAGTCAGTCGAGTTTGAGACAGATAAGGAGAAACACTGCTTTCAAATAAAGGATATCCGTTAATTTAATTGTATTGAAACATAAAAAAAACATTGAATCGTCAAAGGAGTAAGGTTATAACCTGTTATCCAAGTAGAAAATAATAAACTTTACCTGAATGTCAAACCAATGGAGTTAAAAATAAAGGGAAAATCAATCAATCAAGAAATTTATCAAGAAGAAACCTGGAAGAAGACCACCTCCCATGGAATTTGAAGTCTCAAACAAGAGAACTTAGACAATCTACATTACATTATTACCAAGATTTGGTCGTCGTCTTAGGAATACTGGTAGTTCAAAGAAGAATGAAGGAAAACAAGAGGAGCTCAAATTAGAGACTCGTAATACTTAGTGATTTAAATAAGAATTAATATTTGAATATTAATATAGGTTTCAGCTAGAGGTTAGGGAAAACATGTTTTTAATTTGTTAATTCAAGTTGGCAAGTTTCAACACATGAATAGTACCGCTATTATTATATACAAGATGTTCTGAATGTCCGTCAGGAAACTCCAGGAGATGATTCTACGAATTAAAATAATAGCAGTATGTAACGAAATTTTTTTCGAATTGTCCATGGCTTGCAACACCTTGTCAAGGTTCAATTTTTTAATTTTCTATTTAAATAACAAATTCAATTCAAGTTCGAATTTTTTCAAGAGATAGTAGGTATTACAGCATAGCAATTTGATTAATTGTAGAAAAAATTGTCAAAAGTTTGATGTTTAATAACACTTTAATAGCAGTTTCCTTCTAACCGGTTACATTTATCGGTTTGAATAAAGAGTACATGATATTTTCTGATACTGTGTCTCTTTTCAATAATGTTTAAATTTCTGTGATGTCTAGCAAAAGAAAAAAGTTATGAACAAAACAAATCTTATGTTCTAGGTAAAGTGCCCTCTAGCGGCGCATAATGAAGCTTTTGTCTGACTAATCCAACAGAGCTTCATCTACTTAGTGGTTGTGCCAAATGAGAGACTAATCGAAATTTGACAATTTGAAAAAAAAAATTCATTACATACTGCTATTATTTTAATTCTTAGAATCATCTCCTGAAGTTAACTGACGGACTTCTAGAACACCCTGTATATATTTTTAATAACAGACATAATTAATTAGGGAGGTTTTTATATTTTATTTAGCCTTTCAGATATCAAGTTCAAATTGGGTGCTTTGGCGAAATTAACTGTCATGTAAATTGCGATGCATTATGATTTTTAGATTGCTCCTGGAGATATTACACAGGGGACATACCAAAAAACGCTGTGGAAGATATGTATGACGTAACCAATACATATTAGTTAAGATTTATGTTAGAAATTATGGACTGTTACAGCCAATCTATGGGGGTGTATAATCTGGATAATCATAATAGAGGTTTGTAAATTTATCCCTGCAAAAAGTGGTCCTAAATTTTCTCCCGAAGCGACGTTTTTAAAATTAATAGTACACCAGAAACTAGTTGCATTTATATATAAACTTTTTTCCGAAATTATTTTCAAATTATAGTAGAAAATGGTAAATGTGCACCATTATAATTTTACGATATCTTAAAAGTCGTTCGAGATATCCGACTCACATTTTATATACAGACTTAGGAAATTTGGATATTAATTTACACAGCATTAATAGCATTAGTTAAACCTTATAGGGGTAGTTTTAAGGGGTGACTGTCAGTGTTTCATCCATAACCTTTTATTTGTACCTCATTTTAAAAACATAGATCAAATGACACTATTCTCAGGTAATAAAGTTCAATAGTATTGAGAAATTCAAGTTTACGTATCATAGATTCAGTATTAATTAATAAGTGTGGAGTATCGATCTGTTTTTGATTTTTCCAGACGAATAAGGAGCTTATCTGATGTTTCGAAAATTCAAAGTGACGTTTAGTGACTACCCTTTTTCCAATAACATTTTGAGGCGTCAAAAGTCTTATGCCCGTTTGCACCGAGGTAAATAGGCATTAGTTTACAATATGTTGTTCTAAATTCATGGCACCGTTCCCTAAGCTCTTCTTAAGTACGCAAACAAAATGTTCCTTATGTTTCGATACCAGAAATATGAAGTAGGTACGTGTGTGTTATTGTACCCGTAGTTCGTACTTTAAATTTAAAAGAAAAATACAAAAATAAATGTTTTATCTGAAATTACATCCAGTCAGTACATTGAAAAATATGACTAAACAAAAATTTATTTCGAAATATCTTCTACATTAGACTGACATACAGTTAATTATCTGCATGTGATAAGAAATATTTACTAATAATATGCTAATTAAATGTTTAATCTGAATGTAATCAACTTGTTCTTGGGGGGATTTTTAGTATTATCGCATAATATAAGCATAACGTTAAGTCTGTGAGAACTAGTTTTATTTAAAAGATACTTATGTTAAGGTAATAAGATGAAAGTTAGTACTATTTGCTTCAATGTCCTGATTATCTTTGGATACTTCAGCTGCATTGTTTGTGATATGAATTATGGTACATAAATTACTTAAACTAATGTAGATCTTTATTAACTTGACGACAATTTTCAGATTATTACTGGAGGGATTATACAGGTGAAATACCAAGTGACGCTGTGGAGGGTGGATATGATATAAACAGAAAGACAACATATATTGGCCAAGTTTATGTAAAACATTATGGAATTATTCCAGTTACAATATATCCCGGGAAAACGTCGGTCACGGCAAATATTTGGGGGTTACATCATCTAGATAGTTACATAAAGGTTTGTAAATTTTTGTTAACGATAACAACAACAATTTTGTTCCATAAACGTTTGGACATATTTTTTTAAAAAATGTTATGGATTGTTTAGGAATTTAATTTACAAATAATTCAATTTCTTTTTTATTATGAAATTACCGGCACAATCAAATCATTTTAAGGAAATACAATGAAATTATGCAGCTTCATTACATCTTTTGTTAGTTCTGTATGTTTTCGGTATCATTTTTTTAACCGTATTGATAAACATAAAGTTTAATGTTTTAGATATTGTGCAGCCCATACAAAGATAATTTCAAATGGGTTCCAGCTAATGCAAGAACTCTTCATGTTCAGATGATTAACAAACATTTGGTACGAGGTGGTGTGGAGTATGGCTTATTAACCAATATTGGTAGAATATCGTACCAAGGAGAGTTATTGGTCGCCAAAGTTTGTTCATTCAGTGTGGGAAATGCCAAATTGTTTTATCCTGCTGGTAACAGAGAAAAAAGTACCGATTCTTACGAAGTTTTAATTTATGATGTTAAAAACAATTCAGATACAGGTTTCCATGTTATCGCTCAGTAATTTATATATTCTATTATAAATGAATGTGAATATAAATCTCATACTACACTGTTACGTATTTTTTCATAAAACCATTATCACACAACAACCGACCTACTTGTATAGGAAAATAAAATACAGGACTGATATACATAACATCAACATACGTTTTAAAAATAATCTAACACTGCCACAGCATAAAACCTTGTTTACATGTGACATTGACAAACTCTACAATAAAATTCCGATAGCTTTCAAAACTTTAGCCATAAGCTCTTTCAAGAAAAAGATCAAACATATGATTTTGTACGGTGATGGATTGTCTCAAATGTCTGTGTTACTTAGTTTATTAAGTCATGTATTATAGTCTTCTATTATGTGCTAATTATGATTTTTGTCTGGTTGAGTGGAAGAGCGCTGCCATTTGATCTTGTGTTGGATGGATGCGAACTCTGCCTTTTTGTATGTATGTATGTGAGTATATTGTAATGTTATTTTATTAGCCGTGTAATTTATTTGTATATTTATTTGTAGGTATATATAATTTATGTTTATGCACCTTTGGATAGCTCAGATTGTCAAATAGGAAAATCTACTTACCTTCAATTAATTAAAAGGTAGACACTAGTGTCAGTGAAATTTATATTTTGTTTTTCTTTTTTATAAATTTAGATTTCTTTTTATCACGATAAGTTATTCTTATAATTAAATTTTGATTAATATGAAAATTTATTAATTTTGAAATTAAAAAATTCTTCAAAACAAAATAAAACTGAAAGTATTAATTTTCCTATAGGGCTAGTACTATTAACTAATTATATTGACAATTATATACAAAATCTCTCAATTATTTTCTAATTTTGGACACAGTTTTGCTCCTTCCGTTCAACTTTTATGATCCTGTCACGTTTTTCTAAAGTTCTACTGCAATTCTCGTATCTAACTACTCTGCTCCAAGAACAAATCTTCTACTGTCTGTTTGCTCCTCTATTACATCTGGTATTTGGTCCTCCACAGGAGACTATCCTCTGGGAAAGGTTGATAATTTAATATTTGTCAATTAATTACCTTTTTTTTATTCCTGTTTATGTTTTATATACACGATTTCCGTCTTCTTTGGATCTTTTAATTATTTAAATTATCTTTTCTTCATATTTCTCTTAACTTTTTGATTAATTAAGTATCTCCTTTCTTTATTTTTCTCAAAATCTACTTACAAACTTTTTTTTTCTTCCTGTTTCCAAGTAACCACACTCCTGTTTCCACGTTTTAATTTTTCATTCATCACTATTTAATTTACTTAATAACTATTGTACAATAATTTCACATTTATATAAAAAAATCAATTTCCACTCCTCATACACAACGACGGTAGCCCCATTAAATTTTACTGTTTGTAACAATTCGATAACGTTAAAAAAAATGCACCAGACTTTTGGGAGTCTATATTGACGACAATTTAAGATGGTCGGATCATATATCCTTATTAATTAAAAAGCTTAATCAGTCATACTATGCGTTATTAAAATTAAGACAATCACTGCCAGTGACTTCATTGTTAACTATTTATTACAGCCTGGTTTATAATTTGCTTATCAGAATTATTTTCAATCTCTCTAGAGACTCTTGCAGGCCGGTTTTTATCAATAATAAAATTATGAGTTTGCCCTGCATTTATATATTTCGTTTTTTATTATACAACAAAGAAAATTTGAACAAATATCTTCATAGTTCGCCTCGGCATCATTACACAACAAGGAATCCCAATTTATTGGTATTACCGAGGCATAGAAGTCATAAATTCGAACAATCTATTTCATATGCGGGTATTAAGATGTATAATCATCTTCCTAATTGTTTTAAAAATTTACATGTATTGCATTTTAAACGCAAAGTCAAGGATCTGTTATTAAGTAAATATTATTATATCTTAGATGAATATTATTTAGATAAGGATCTTTTGACGGTGTAACTGTTGCACTCCATGCTATTGTTGCTATTATTGTATAATTTGTAATTTTGTTCTTGTAAGTTTAGTGTATGTTTGTGCACATGTATTTTTGACTTGTCCTATACATTGTAAAATTATGTCTGTGGGGATTAAATAAATATTATTATTATTATTATTATTATTATTATTATTATTATTATTATTATTATTATTATTA